GCTTTCTACCCGCACGTGTGCAGACGTGTGTGCGGTGCGCAACTGCGGCCCCAACGCCAACTGCCTCAAGACCGAGGGAGGCTGGGCGAACTGCGTGTGCCAAAGGGGCCAACAGCTGCTACCCAATGCGTCCTGCACGCGTGAGTGCCTTCACCCACCCTGCACCCTGTTTGCTGCTTTCCTTATCCGTTTTTGAGGCGCCTCGAAGAGAGCGAGGGAGGCTGGGCGAACTGTGTGTGCCAGAGGGGGCAACAGCTGCTGCCCAATGCCTCCTGCACGCGTGAGTTGCCTGAGCCCAATGCACCCTTCTTGCTTCCCTTATCCGCTGCTGCCCAATCTATCCTGCATGCATGAGTCGACTGTGCCTCAGTCACCCATCCTTGTTGCTTCCCTTCCTCAAGTGATATTTGCCGCTGCATGATGAGTCCTGTGCATGTCAAATTGCGCCGCTACTGATGCTCTAATTCATGCTTGTTGCCTAATGGGCAGTTCTGCCTGCCATCGCACGTCAAGGCTAATGGGCTTGAATCCTCGTGTCCAAGGCATAACACCTGTGCCATTGCTGCTTCCTTTGCATTACGACCTTTCTGGAGTCGTCTCAAACATGTTGTGCAGGCAGGGCACTCCAATAATTCTTTCCACTCTCCTATACTCCATCTATCTTCGTTGCTCCCCGTTCCACATGTGTTCTTTCTTGGTGTGAACCCAACAGACTCGTGCTCGATAAGGGACTGCGGGAGAACGCGTACTGTGAGAAGGAGCAGGAGCTCGCCGTTTGTCACTGCAACTGGGGCTACGCCATGACCGACACCGGCTGTGTTGGTCAGTGCCCTGTTGCGTTGGTCAGTGCTGTGATGTGTTGCTCAGTGCCCTGCTGTGTTGGTTAGTGCCCTGCTGTGTTGGTCAGTGCTGTGCTGCAATGCAATGCGTGATGACTGTGTTTCTGTGGTTTGTGCGCGTTGAGTTGACTCAAGTCACTGCAACTAGGGCTACGCCATGACCGGCACCGGCTGTGTTGGTCAGTGATGTGTTGCGATGCGCGACGAATCTGTCTGTGGTTCTGTGCCAGATGAATAAATGCCATTTCCACTGAGATGATGCTTTTTGTGTGCTACCGCATTTTCATGCTTTACTTTTTGTGGTCTTCGTATTTGCTGCTCCATTTTTTAATTTTTGTGTTTTTTTTTTCCCATCCTCAACACTTCCTTTCCCCCCTAGATACTTGCATTCTTAAGGGGTGTAATTCGTTCATAGAGGATTGTAGGAAGTATGGCGATGGCTCTGCATACTGTGTATGCAAGCCGGGCTACAGAAATGTCAATGGCTATTGCGTCGGTATGTAATTTTAACCTCAACATCCCCCCAATCCCCCTCCTCACCCCCCCCCCCCCCCCCGCCCCCCCCAGCTTCTTCCCCTCTCATTCCATTCTCTCTCCCTCCTTTGCATTGTTAGTAGTTCCCTGTGCATGCTATGATTGCATGTTTGTTTTTTTCCTGCCCCACTATTCCTGTGCCCATTGTTGCTCTCCAGCGCTCATTGCATTGTGCTGCTTTGAGCTATCCTGTATGCTTGCCTGTTTTCATCTGTTCTCCCCGCTATTCTCTAACCTGTGCTCACCATGACCTGCCACATGTGGGAACTGTCCAACCGGGGCCACATGCAATATTGTCTCTTCCACCGTAAAGGCTCCACACTGTTCTTGCCCTAGTGGCTACGGCATGAGCAGCACAACTTGCGCCCGTGGTGAGACCATGATCTTGCATTCAAGGACAATCATGCAAGTCTAGCCAGTTGTGCTTGCACATGGGTTTCATCAACAGGTCATACAACCTTTTAACAAACCCATACCTCGTGCCAAACCATACGCTCCAATTTTCTGTTCCCCCACTTCTCATCCTTCCAGGATATGCCCCAACCGTCTCCTCTGCAAGTTTCACCTTCTACCGTGATCCCAAGTACACCTTAACACCCTACACCTACACCATGCACGTTTTGTACAACGGATGCACCAACCTGCCGTCGGCAGCTGGTCTCTCATGAAGTCATACTGGCGAGTGGACCGTGCACCGGGAGGAGCGGGGCACTGCCCAATTATCTACGCGTTTAAATATGCAAACTGCAATGGACCGATGGCCGCTTTATTCAATTACCGGTCCAATCGCTGCATATGGTGTTCAGTAAGTCCCTTACACCCGGTCCAATCTTTTCCATACATTTGTCTCATTCTTGTTGTGCTCTATAATCCACTTCTATACTAGAAGCCAATCTACTCCATGCACACCCACTTTTTCTTATGTGCATTCACGTTTCCCTTTATCTACCTTTTTCTTTGTGTCCCACTAAACACATACTATTCGTCAACTTCACCTGACATCCTGTCGTTCAAGTGTATCCACTTCTAGTCACTATGCTTCTGGAGTTGTATGAAGACCAAGAATTCAAGACTCTAGATGAAGTGATGCTCCTCGTCAAGACAAGGCAGCAAAGAATGCCTTAAAACCAGCTTGATTTGGCCAGGGAGCTATGGGTGTCCAGCTTGTTTTACCTCTCTTCTCCACCACCTACCTCTTTTGTTCTTCCTGAAAAAATGAACGAGAATGTTTTGACTAAGGGAAAGTTGGGTACAAGTACAAACCCTAGAAAGCTATACCCCATATGTGTTACCCCACTATAGCCTACAGTAGCTATGTCATATAAATCTGACACACCCCCATAGGCAAAGTGGGGGAGAACAAGGGGTCACAAGACCAGTCAAGCAAAGCAAAGCAAGCTCATGGTGGATCACAAAGTCACCACACATTCTGAGCACAAGTTCAAGGCCACAAGGCCAGTTCACATGCAGGATTACATATATATATATATAGAAAGCTAGACAAGCAAGAGCAGGTGTATATATATATTTGCAACAGTACAAACAAGGTCAAGGGGTAAGCAAGTGAGGCAAGGTAGGCACAAGACCCAGCTGAGTACAGAAGCGCTGATGATCACAAGGCGCAAGTGCCTTGGTGAAGATATCAGCAGTGTTGGCCTCAGAGGCCACGTACGCAAGTCGGAGCTGACCACGCTGCTGTAGCTCACGAGCAAGGAAGTAGCGGAGAGCAATGTGCTTTGTTCTGTGCTCCAATCTCTGCTCTCGACACAAGGCCAGCATGGCCTTGTTGTCTACGTACAGCACTGGAGGAGAACGAGGCACCTCTCCAAAGTCAGTCAGCAGGTAGGTGAGCCAGCGAAGCTCCTGTGCAGCCATGGCCCCGGCGTAGATCTCAGCCTCACAACTGGAGTCGAGAACAGAAGACGAGCGGGTAGCCCGCCACGAAACAGAGCCGGAACCAAGGCTGAAGGTGTAACCCTGTGACGACCGCTGCGTAGCCTGGTCGTCAGCCCAAGAAGCGTCTGCGTGACCTGTGAGGACCACTGGACTCTGCCCTCCAAGCACAAGCCCCATGCCCGATGTACTGCACAAGTAGCGCAACATCCTCTTCGCTGCAGCCATGTGCTCCGGTCTGTGTCTCCCAGGAGCAACATAGCGTGCGAGAATGCTAAGAGGGTATGCAAGGTAAGGTCGTGTGCAGGTCATCAGGTACATGAGGCAGCCAACAAGCTCTGGGTACGGGCCACTCGACTCTACGGACTCATCCGAAGGCAGAGCTGAGAGCGAGTGGCGAGTAGGCAGAGGAGTGGCCTGAGGCGAGGAGTACGTGAAGCCGAAGCGCTGAAGGACCTGCTGCACCATGTGTGACTGAGTCAGGGTAATGGTGCGGCGTGCTCTGTCCCGGGTGATCTGCTAGCCAAGGTAGCTGCGCAGTTCACCCAGGTCTGTGCACGTGTGTCTCTTCTGCAGCTCGGACTTCACGTGGGCGAGTCCAGCAGTGTCAGCTGTGGCAAAGACCAAGTCGTCGACATACACGAGGATGTAGAACGGCGGCAAAGAAGTGTCGGTGCGCAGAAATAGTGACGGGTCGGCAGTAGAGGGAGCAAACCCAAGGGCCGCAAGTGTAGTCCTCAGTGTGTCGTGCCACTCACGCGGTGCCTGACGGAGACCGTAGACTGGCCGCCAGAGGCTCCACTGGGTGCTAGGAGGAAAAGACCAAGTGAAGCCAGGTGGGCGACTCAGCCAGATCTCCTCGTGCAGGCTGCCATGCAAGAAAGCAGTGCTGAAGTCAAGAGAGTGCAGCTCGTAGTCGCGGTAAGCAACTATGTGCAGCAGTACCCAAAGAGTGCTCATCTTCGGGGTGGGAGAGAAGGTCTGAAAGTAGTCAACTCCTTGCCGCTGATTGAAGCCACGAGCCACGTAACGCGCCTTGAAGACAGGCGGAGAACCCGGCGGCCCCTTCACCCTAAAAATCCACATGCCACTGACGATGTTCGCCCCAGGCGGGGGAACCTCGTCAACGTAGGTGCCTGTGGACTTCCAGGAAACCATCTCTGTGTCCATAGCTGCCTGCCACTGGGCGGAGTAGGGACCCTCTATCGCCTCCGCGTAAGAGCGCGGAGTCGGGATGTCAAGTGCATCCGGGTCTCTCTCAGGGGTAAGCAGTACGGACACGAGATGAGGTAAAGCAGCAGCCAAACACTGGAACTCCTCCTGCATGTCCTCAAGGACGTCCGTGCCAAGGGCACACTCACCCCCGACGGACGGAGGACAGACAGACTCATACTCAGCGACAAGACTAGCAGCGTAGTCTAGACGACAGCAAGCAGCAAAGTCGACAAGCTCAGCAACTAGGGCAGACGCATCAGTGGACTCAAAGGAAGGGTCAGTGACGACAGTAGTAAGGAGACGCGTGACAGTAGGACTGGCAGCACGAAGAGAGTCCGACTCCGGGTCGGCAAGAGCAGGAAGAGAGGACTCAGGAGGAGAAGGCAAAGGGGCACGCAGAGGAGCAGTGGACGGACGCAGAGACATCCGGTGCTTCCAGGGGCACGGGGAGGACGCTGACGCGAACCACAACCACTAGTGCGAGCCGGACGGACAGGTGACGCAGGGCGAGACGCAGGCTCACGACGCTCAGCAAGACCTCCAGTAGGACCAGTGTAGGGAGAAGGAGCAGGCAGTGGGGAGGCCGGCTGTAACTGTAACTGTGACGGGACAGGCTGTGGACACTCTAAGGGAGGAGGAGGACAAGTAGAAGGCGGGAGACCAAGAACTTGCTGAAGGAGCAGAACGAAGTACGGCCGAGGCCGCGCGGCGACTCCAGACACAGCAGGGACAGCATCAGTACCCCCAGCGGCAGCACCAGCGCCAGCAGCACCTCCAGCTCCAGTACCTCCAGCAGCACCTGTAGCACCCCCAGCAGGACCGCCTCCAAGACCGACAGCAGTAGCCCCAGTGCCAACACCCTCAGCAGCTCCAGCTCCAGTCGTACCCGCAGGCCCAGCAGCTTTAGTACTCCCAGTACGAGCACCTCCGGGACCCGCGGCACCAGCACCCTCAGCAGCCGAAGAACCGCCAACTCCAGCAGCACGCCTCCAGCGCCGGGCAAACCACTCGCGCAGCTCCTGTGGAGAGAGTGGCTCCCGCCAAGACGAAGCACCCGGAGAACCTCCAGGCCCAGCACCGCCGGACGCCACACGAGCAGGCCCAGCTCCCTCAGGCTCCGCACCCCCAGGCTCAGCACCTCCAGGCTCCGCACCCCCAGGCTCAGCACCCCCAGGTGTAACACCCCCAGGCTTAGCACCCCCAGGCTCAGCACCCCAAGTGGTAGCACCCCCAGGCTTAGCACCCCCAGTAGTAGCACCCTCAGGCTCAGCACCCCTAGGCGTAGCACCCACACGCTCAGCACCCCCAGAGTCAGCACCCCCAGGCTCAGCACCCTCAGCAGCACTAGAGTCACCAGTAACCTCGACAGGCTCGACTGCGTCTACCTGGGACACACCTGAAGGGGCAGGACCCTGAGGGGGGAGGGGGTCTACCGGGGGGGGACCTGGCACAAGGAAGAGCGGTGGCGGGGGGAGGGACGGAGTGCGGTAGGAGAAGAGGCGGTAGTAGGGGACCGACTCGTCAAACGTGACGTCCTGGGAGGACAGAACACGGCGAGAGGTGGGGTGGTAGAACTGCCACCGTGGCGCGTCAGGGGGGGAGCCAAGGAAGACGCAAGGAGCAGCACGAGGGGACAGCTTGTCTGCAGACAAGTCGCGGACAAACGCCCGAGATCCCCAGACACGAAACGCAGACGCATCGCCAACCTTCTCCGTCCACAGCAAAGCTGGGGAGGTCTCCGGCATGGAGACCCTGGGGTGAAGGTTGATCTGATGCGCAGCGTACCGAACCGCAAACGGCCACAGAAAATGGGGGGCAGCCGCATGCATCATGGATGTACGGGCGACGTCCATGACCATGCCAATGCGGCGCTCAGCAATCCCATTTTGCTGTGGAGAGTCCGGAAGCGTGAAGGTCTGGCGGATGCCTCGTGCACGACAGTAGGCTTGCAGAAGGCCAGAGGAGAACTCTCCGCCTCTGTCAGAGTGCAGACGCAGAACAGGAAAGTCCGAGCCGAAGCTCTGCCTGAGCTGCAGAGTAGCTGCGCGGATCCAGTGGATCAACACCTCAGTGACATCACCCTTGCTGCGCAAGGGGAAGACTGTGGTGTAACGCGAGTAGTCGTCAACCACCAGCAGGAAGTAGCGCTCCTGACCCTGTCCACGAACGCGGGCCGGGCCCCACACGTCCATGTGAAGCGTCTGCAGCGGGGCCTCTGTCGGAGGAAACTGAAGGAGTGAGGGGCAGCCCGCTGCAGCCCCTCGACACAGAGGACGCAGGTAGGGCCAGGCCCCGGAGGAAGGGGAGGGAGGGACCGGGGGAGACCAGAGACAAGGACACGGGAGGCCATGCCTTGGAGACGAAGCAGGGAGGGGTGACCAAGGCGGTGGTGCCAGAGGAGAGTCTCGTGAGACAGGAGGCAACACGAGCAGGGGGCAGACTCAGGACCAGACCTGGACGCTGCAGCAAACACCTGACCCGACGCAGCTACCTGACCAGACGGAGTGACTGGAGGAGATGCAGTGGTCAGTGTGTACAGGCTCCACTCCGGCCGACGTGTAAACGTGGCCAGGTGTCAGCCTGTCCGAGCGTCCGTGCAGTGGGTCACCCGCTGACTCGCAGGAGTGAACTGGTGAACTCCCGCATCCTGTAGGTCAGCACCACTCACCAAGTTCGTAGAGAACGAGGGGAGGTAAAGACCAGACAGGGTGCCAGAGGGGGCCGCTAGACACGAGAGGACAGTGGAGAAGTGAGCAAGGACAGGACCCCCAGAGGGGTCTGCCAGAGAGACTGCAACTGGCCGGCCAAGCGGCGTGAGTGTGGTGCGGTCTCGAAAGAAGAAGCGAGAAGCCCCCGAGTCAAGGGTGAAGGTGTGGGAGGCCGAAGCCGACGCAGTACCTGAGAGAGCAGACTCACCAGCACCTGAGGGAGCAGACGCACGAGCACCTAGAGCAGCAGCCTCGCTAGCACCTAGAGCAACAGCCTCACCAGTACCTAGAGCAGCAGTCTCCATGCCCGGGTCGGGCGGAAAACACTGGTAACAGTCACCCTCATCACTAATACTCACATCATACATTGCAGCAAGAATAGCATCAAAGTCAAGGTCAAAGACAGCTACTCCCGCCCTAGACAGCTCGCCCCAGCGGGGGATCTCAGTGGCCTCCTGGAACTGGTGACGCCAAGCGTCCGTCAGGCGGCCAAAGCAGCGCTGGGTGGAGTGCGCACCCCCGCACTGCTCACCCGTGCAGTCGCCGGTGCGTAGGACGTAGGTGCACGGACCAGTACCCCCACCCCGCTGGCGTGCAGTGTACCACTCACGGAGCTGCTGAGGGGGGGGGGATGTCACGAGTGCGCTGCTGCTACTGCTGCTGGCGCTGACCACCACCGGAGCCGACCCTCTGCGCAGCGCCACCCTGACCAGCTCCACCTCCTCCGCCACCGCCGCCTCCGCCTCCACTGCCGCCACCGACACCTCCACCCCCGCCACCACCCCCACCGCCACCCCCACCCCCTCCGCCGCCTCCACCGCCGCCTCCACCGCCCCCGCTAGCTCCTCCAGCGCCCCTGCCCCCCTTGCCCTTGCCAGGGTGGCGTCTCCCGCTAGGGGTAGACGCCGCACCGACCGACTCAAGACCAACGAGGTCGGCCGCAGCAGCAGAGGCAACAGAGGGCAAAAGGGGGGAGGGGGAACACCCCTCAAAGATGGGGGTGCGAGGGTCACCACGACAGGCTCCTACATCTACTATGCTCTTCTCTGCTGCTAGGAGGGCCTTCTCGAGGAGGTCAACGGTGAGAGTGGTGGGGCAAACTGAGAGGAAGTGGTCCCGGACTACGCAAAGGGAGTCAGTGAGCCAAGTGACTATGTACATGGGGGGGGGGTTTTCTTGGCGCATAACTCAGCAGGAAGCGCAGCGCGGTAGCGAGTGTCACTAGTGCGGAGGTGCGTAATGAGGTCAGCGACTGTGGGAAAGGCAGCAAGGTCAGGGAAGAGGTACAGTAGCATGAGGCGGCTCAGTGCAGCAGTGGCAGGGGAGGAGTAGCGTGCAACTACAGCGTCGTACAAGGTCTGAGCACTCTTGTACTGACTAAAGTGCGCACGCTAAGAGGTAGGCAGGTGGCGACGCATAGCAAGACGTGCAGCAGCATCGCGTGTGGCCCACTGTGAGCGAACAGTGGCGTCGGCATCAGCAGCAGGGGCTGGAGAGGCACCAGAGGTGAGGTCAAAGAGGGAGAGACCGTCTGCCCTATCGCACTATAAGAAAAGCTGCAGGTCATTTACCCAGACGTCAAAGTCAATGGCCCGACCCTCAGCGTCAAAAGTGAGGACACTAGGGGTAGCCATGACAGCAGTAGACTAGTAGTGCGAACAGTAGGGTAAGGGCAGTGCAGTGACAGAGGCGCTGCTCTTACCGGACAGGGCTGCTCGGGCGGCTCGGCGGCTCGGCGGCTCGGCGGCTCGGCAACTCGGCGGCTCGGCGGCTCGGCAACTCGGCGGCTCGGGCGGCTCGGCGGTACGGCGGCTCCGCAGCAACTGCGGCTCGGCGACTCGGCGGCTCGGGCGGCTCGGGCGGCTCGGGCGGCTTGGCGGTACGGCGGCTCGGCAGCAACTGCAGGCCGGCGGCTCGGCGACCCGGCGGCTCGGGCGGCTCAGGTGGCGCGGCGGCTCGGGCGGCTCGGGTGGATCGGGCGGCTCGGCAGGAGCTCGGCGGCGCCGGCGGCTCGGTGGTGACGGCGAGGCCGCGTGGGGACGGCGGCGGGGCCGGGTGGAGCGGCGGCGGGGCCGGGTGGAGCGGCGTCGGGGCCGGGTGGAGCAGTGTCGGGGCCGGGTGGAGCGGCATCGGGGCCAGTAGAGGCGGCTAGGAGGGGGGGGGGGGGGGGTCGCGACGGTGGCTTGAAGAGGCCGCGAGGGCAGCACGAAGGGGCCGCGAGGGCGGCGCGACGCGACGAAGCCGCGAGGGTAGCGGATCGGGGCCGCGATGGCGGCGCGACGCGGCCGCTAGGGCGGCACGACGTGGAGGGGCCGCTAGGGCGACGCGACGGGGTCGCAAGCGCGACGTGACGGGGCCGCTAAGGCAGCTCGACAGGGTCGAAAGGGCGGCGCGACGGGGCCGTGAGAGGGGAGCGCGACTCGGGTAGTGTAGAGTGCGCTCCGGGCAGGAAAAAAAAAGGTGGTGGGCCCTCGGAACAGTTCCCACGGGGGAACCAGCTCGATACCATGAGAAAATGAACGAGAATGTTTTGACTAAGGGAAAGTTGGGTACAAGTACAAACCCTAGAAAGCTGTACCCCATATGTGTTACCCCACTATAGCCTACAGTAGCTATGTCATATAAATCTGACACTTCCTTCTTCCTCCCATTCCTCTCTTCCCAGTCTAGTAGTAGTAGTAGTAGTAGTAGTAGTAGTAGTAGTAGTAGTAGTAGTAGTAGTAGTAGTAGTAGTAGTAGTAGTAGTAGTAGTAGTAGTAGTAGTAGTAGTAGTAGTAGTAGTTGTTGTTGTAGTTGTTGTTGTTGTGTGTGCGTGCGTGTGCGTGTGCGTGCGTGCGTGCACGTGTGTATGTGTGTGTGTGTGTGTGTGTGTGTGTGTAGACCATGGACAAGATCATCAATAAATGAGTATGCGTTGATTACCTTACATGCGCTATTGACAGAACGAATGAGGAGAAGATGGTCATGAGATGGTCATGAGATGCCATGAGTTATTCCTAATGCTTTTTTGCCCGTCGCTTTCACCCTCTTCCTCCCTGCAGGTGAAGGTGCTGAGGGAAGCAGACCGGGTTGGGCCAGATGGCAAGCCGCAGTCCAAGGGAGCGGCGTTCATTGAGTTCAGTGAGCACCAACACGCTGTAGCGGCGTTGAGGGCGCTCAACAACCACCCCAGTGAGTGCAGTGCGGCGAAGTACTGTGCAGTGCGGTGCTGCGATGTTCATGAGACAGAGGCAAAGGGAGCAGCATTCATTGAGTTCAGTGAGCATCAGCACGCTGTAGTGGCGTTGAGGGCGCTCAACAACCACCCCAGTGAGTGCAGTGCGGTGTGGTGCAGTGAAGTACTGTGCAGTGCGGTGCGGTGCAGTGAAGTACTGTGCAGTGCGGTGCTTTACTGATGCAGCCTTGCTATCCCCATCTTCTATGCACCTCCATTCACTCCCCATGCCCCCCCACGGTCCCCTCCCTTGACGCTCGCCCCACAGTGGAGTTTGCAATCCGTATCATCTCCATAGTGAAGCACATTCTGATACCTCTCTGTTGCACCCATGCCTCTCCCTTACATCTGTCTTCATCCCCTATTCTCATGACACCTGCAGCCATCTTTTCCCGTGATGCTCGCCCCATAGTGGAGTTTGCTATCGAGAATGTCTCGATAGTGAAGCAGAGGCAACACACGTCCATTCCCCCACCCCTTCATCCGTTTCCCTCCCTCACTTCCGTTCCCCTCCTTCATCCGTGCCCACCCTTACATTCTTTCAGCCATCTTCTCTCGTGACGCTCGCCCCATTGTGGAGTTTGCAATTGAGAATGTCTCGATAGTGAAGCAGCAGCAGCACACGGTGAGGCAGCAGAGCGACAGGCGACAGGTAGTGCGGCAGCAGCAGAAGCAGAATGAAGCTGGGGCCACTGGTTTGGGGAAAGCAAGGGGTGCAAAGAGAAAGCCTGAGGAGGGCGAGGCACTTGCTGTTGGTGATGCTGAGGGCTCTCCAGCAAAGAAGAAGCAGAAGCAGGTGAATGGAGGGAAGGGGCAAGGTCAGCAAGAAAAGCGGCAGGGGGAGCAGCAAGAGAGGCACGGGAAAGGACCTGGGAAGGACGTGAAGGGGCATGCGGGTGCAGAGGTGCAAGCAGGCGCTGCAGCAGAGCAGCAGAGTGTTGGTGTGAAGGCACCGGGTGGAGTAGAATGGGGAGGGGTGAGAGGCAGTGGGAAGGCCGAGTTAAAGAGGAAGCAGAAGGGTGCAGCAGGGAGTGCTGGTGTGTCCCCTGCTGCTGCAGTGAAACCTGTTGCTGCCTCTCCTGCGGCTGCTATGAAGGCTGCTGCAGCTGCCGTGACTCTTGGTGCTAAAAATCCAAAGACAGACCCATAGAGGGGAAAAGCAGCGATTGCGTTGAAAGCTGTTGCTGCCTCTCCATCTTCTGTAGTAAGTCTCGGTTTTAAAAGGGCGAAGATAGACACACGGAGAGGAGAAGCAGCGGCTGCAGTCATGGAGGCTAGGCGAGCACAGGCAGCATTAGCTGGGTTGGGAGGAAGTGGAGGAGGGGAGAGGGGCAAGGTGAGGAGCAAGAAGGTGTCGGAGCATCAGGAGCTGGTGGATGAACTTGATAGGCTCGTGGCGGCTTACAGAGCAAAGAACTATGGGTAAGAGAGAGTGAGTAAGAGGGAGGGAAGGGGCAGAGCAAGGGGCAGAGCAAGAAGGGGTCGGAGCACCGGGAGTTGGTGGATGAACTTGATAGGCTTGTGGCGGCTTACAGATCGAAGAACTACGGATGAGAGAGGGAGTAGTACAAGGGAGCCGGAGCATCACGAGCGTTTGGGATGCGCTTGATTGGCTATGAGTCGCAGTAGATTACAGGTGAAGAATCATGAAATTACAGTTGAAGAGAGTAAACATTGAAGACGTGAAGAGCAAAAAATGATTGAGAGCAGAGCCGTGGCATACAATTTGTTGTGATTCAATTCTTGTTCTATATTTCATGGGTCTGGCTGAACAAGTGGCTAGTGTAGTCTTCGTTTTCCAATAATTTTAATCTCAAATATATATTCGTTGCACGAGACACGTTGACAACTCAGATGAATTGTAATACCGTACACTAAGAAGTCAGTGCTCTGGTGTACTCATAAATTTGAGTGTATGCATTGAATATAGAACTTCGTTTAGTGTAAATATCGATCTACCTTGTCCCCCCCCCCCCCCCCCCCCAACTATTAGTGCACCTGCGCTTATAATAACAAATACAGTATTTATGAGCTCATGTACGGTGACGAAAAACGAAGCTGCGATAATATGGACGGAATAAACAATGTATGGAGAGCTTGTGACGGTGTCCATTTTTGTCTCTTGCTACGATTCCCTGCCACTCTAATCGGGCCGAAGCTGGGCCCCTTCTTCCAAAGTTGGGGGTCCGAAGAACCTCGATGCCTTCGGCGTCGGACCCTCGGCACGCGAAGGCGGCCCAGGCTAGCACTGGGGCACGCGGCCAACCCCTTAGCGTGATTTTGGAGGGCCGACCCTTCGGCCCCTGCCAGGAACACGAGGCCTCAACTGCTCCTGGGAAGCACGCTGACTCAGCAGTGGGGACCACTGCCTCGTTCGCCTCGAAACACCAGTGATCAGCCGTGTGAGGTCCCCGTTACAGATAAAGATGAAAACGAATGTTCTAAAATCATAACGAAAAGTGAGTTAGCATCTCATGAAAATCGCCCCCCTCTCTCAAAATTCCACTACGCACTGATTTCACAGGGTGTAAGCGCGAACGAATTGTGTTCACGAAGTTCTCTTTCCGCCCCGCTTGTCAACCACGGTACCACGCCTTCTACGAGCCACAAATTACCCTGAATTGACCCTGCACGGCGGGCTTTCACTCGACGGGGCAAAATGTTTTGCTTCAGCTGAACGACTGTATCCACTGTGCTGACTCACACTCGTGTGGATTTTTCGCGCTAACTTTCTGGACTTTTCCCACTCGTGTTTGCCACCAAAACTTGTGGACACGCGGAACTGCGGAAATGTCGTACTTGACTTCGTGGATTTGGTAGCTGCCCAGCGTGAAACGAGCCCCGATTTACCCTAATTTGCTCTGTAATTTTAAGATTTACCTTTGTGCGATCAGTGCGAACACGCCTACATTCCGCCACAGAAAATAGTTTTGCATAAACAGGAGTCATAGTTAAACCTCCACGCGCAAAGTGCGTTAGGAGGACGGCTCGAAATGTGAACTTCGCGCACTCATATTTGGCCCAACAATCGTGCACACGCGAAAACTTTGCTGGTGGATTTCACCAGGAGAGTTCGCGGATTTCTTGTTTTTGTAGCTCAATTTCTTGCTTTCTATACCTCCAACAGAGGGGGTTTTCGCGCGTGACTATTCTCAGGGTGGAGCGAAAAACGTGTTCTTCCGCAAAACGCCTGCACTGTTCGAATTGTGCTGACACGAACATCGATGATGTCATGCAAATAGCTGGTATTTTTCGCGGTAAAGAAAAAAACATATCAAAAAGTCCGGAGACGCGGATAGGTTGTAAACAATATAAAAATTCTAAGAACGTTACAGTACGGTGCAGAACGTTACATCGTGATTGTCCCAGAACGCACACGCGAGAGGAAATACACTTTGCTTCGCTGGTGAATATCACCAGGCGAGTTCGCGGATATCAGAGTTTCGCGGTGGGTATTCTTTCGGGTTTCCAGTCAATTGGTATGTGCTTCAAGTTGGTGCAGCGCACGTGGTTGGCGGTGGGACGGGCGTTGTCCGATTCACGGGATTTTTGTGTCAAACTTATATGCTATGCTCTATCTAGGCTGTAGTGGGGTAGACACTATAGGGTCCAACATTTCTAGGTTTCCTACTTGTACCCACATCTTGCCTAGTCATTCCATTCCTCGTGATTCTCACCTGGTATAGAGCGGGTTCCCTAGTGGGACCGTTTCTTCCTAAGGGTCCACCATTAGAATTTTTTTTCCTAACCTGCCCAAAGCGCGCTTCGCGCTCTGACCTGCCCTACTCTTTCGCGGCCCCTTAACGGCCTGCCCTGCTCCTGAGGCCCGTCGCGCCCCCCCCCTTGCGGCCCCTTCGCGGCCCCTTCACGGCCCCTTAGCGGCCCCCTTCGAGGCCCCTTAGCAGCCTCCCTTCGCAGCCCCTTAGCGGCCCCTTCGCGGCCCCTTCACGGCCCCTTAGCGGCCCCTTCGCGGCCCCTACGTGGCCTCCCTTCGCGGCCCCTTAGCGGCCCCTTCGCGGCCCCTTCACGGCCCCTTAGCGGATCCTTCGCGGCCCCTTCGCGGCCCCTTCGCGGCCCCACCCCGCTGCCCGTAGCGGTCCCTGTCAATGGGAGTTGTCTTTGACCCCGTCCTCGCTTGGCGGAGCTGACCGTGGGATCCACGAAATCGCGGGGGACCGTGGAGCCACGAAATCGCGGTGGACCGTGGGAGCCACAAAATCGCGGTGGACCGTGGGAGCCACGAAATCACGGGGGACCGTGGATCCACGAAGCCGCGGAGGACCACGGTGGCCGAGAAACCGTGGGAGGACCGCGAAATACCCGGTCAACCAGGATACCCGGGCGACGTGCGCGAAAGTCGCTGGGGATGTTGTCTGCGAGGACGACCTCGGGGGTGGTATCCCGAGGTCGACGTGGCTGGTGGGCGCCGTCATGGGTGAAGTGTCTGCGCTGGGCAAGTGATGGGGAGTTGGGCGCCAACCAGCTGCACACACATGCGAAGCTGGGGCACCGTTGTCCCGCGGATGCAACGTTGTGCAGCCGACTTGCTGCAGCGTTGGTACACCGCGGACTGGCAACGTTGGCAAGCCGCGACTCTGCTCTGCTGGAGCGCGGTCGACCAAGTCGTGCTGGCACGCGGCCGACCGTGCTGCACTGGCAGTTGACCAGCAGCCTTGCTAGGTCTGATGTATTTTGTGTTGCCAATGTTGATGCAATCATTCTAAACTTTTATTGTCAGGTTTTCCTAGTGAAACTCTTGCCAATTTTCCCAGTGAACTAGCAAGCAGTGTTAGCACTTGGAAACGACTAAGGAACAAACGAACGCTACAATCACTCTTGCCCCGTGCCTAGCCCGTAGTCTAGCTCCCGTTGCACTAGTTATCTCCGCATGGTGCGGTGAGCGTGGACGACACCGCGACGAAACCTTCGGTTTAGCTGACTTCTCACTCACCTAGCTTGTTCGTAGACCGGCAGCTGTGCGGTAGTCACTATGGTAGGAGTCGTAGGTGACGGAGGGGTAGTGGACACCCTGGAGGCACGGCTGGAGAACGCGAGGAGAAAGCACGAGGCCAACCAGTATGGCGACATCCCCTGGACGGTCGTCGAGGCTGGCATCAGCTCGTTGTGGGCGACGGAGCACCCTCTCTCTCGGCCTGCGTCTCCTCGACCAGTGAACAACGCGGGCGGCGTCGACGCGGACGTCAACACGGGTGGTGGCCAAGTCGGCAGCAGCGCGGGAGGCACATTGAGGCAGCGAGGTGTGATTCACGCCGATGAAGTCGGCGACGTTCAGGCGCGAGGGATGTAGTCCTCCGCGGCTGCAGGGGCCCCGCGAAATTACGTCGGAGGCAGACAAAGTGAATTGGCGCCAATGTCGGCGACACACGTGACCGCGGGGAGGAATTGCGCCGAGCTACGGCTACTTCAAGTTTACGCCGGACGGGATCTCGGTCACCCCTCTGCTGGTCGGGTCGTCCCGACATCCTCACGTGGAAGGAAGCCATCGAGCCCCAGCTGGAGATGGCCGGGCTGATGGGATTCGCCCACGGAACCGTGGCGACGCCGAAGGAGCACTACCCCGACATGCGAGCGGAATTTCGCGCCGTGTAGCTGCTGACCTTTACGGTCATTTTGCGGTGCTGCTCGCCGGGCCTACAGATCGCCCTGAAGTCGTGCAGGGAGTACCTCGACGCTGGCCACCGGGCGTGGCATTTCATCGAGTCAACTTACCAGGTCACCGACGACTTGTTCATCGCCCAGCTTGAGGGGCAGTTGACGAACCTGCGTATGGGCGACGAGGAGACCGCGACTGACTACTGAAACCGAGCTCGGCGAATTCTTGCCACCATACGGATGGCTGGCGCGCAATACTTGACGGCTTCGTACGTCACGCATGTCATGCAAGGACTCCCGAGCAGCTACAACCTGCTGAAGCAGCTGTCGATGGCGCCGAGCACGCGAGCGACGCTCAACGAGGACACATTGACCTCGTACATCCTGCAGGACGAGGCAATTCAGGAGGCTGAGCGGTCCCAGGAGCTCCTCGCGCAAGTAAATTTCGCAGCCCCCGCGAAGCGAGGTGGTCGCCCGGGACAGCGCGGGCAGTCTGGTGGCAGTCACCGCGGTGGCGGGAAGCCGACGAAGGACGCT